CCTCCGACAACGAGGACTATCTCCAAGTCCAAGAGGGTTGGACACGCTCGAATAAGCGTGTATCCAAGGTGACAAGCAATTAGCAACGTTATTTGATGGGCAAACACCTATTAACCATTCCGAGATGGCGGAGGAAAGGGGTTGGAGGAGGATGGTGGATGTCAGGTGAAGAGTAACCGAGACTTTGTTAAGGTCATAATCTAGACAAGAGATTGTACACAATCGGGCTCCAATTTCTTGTCAGATACTGAGAAACAAGATATTCCAGTCCAATTATGGGATAATATTCCGTATCCGGAATATTCCGGATGGAATAATTGAGATGTGACATTAATATAATAAATAAACGATACACTGGTGATTATATATTTATTGTTGAAGACGTAAAAAATTAGAGGTTCGATTAATCTCGAAAAATTGTACAATTTATAGATATTCGATATTCAGATATATTTTTTATTTTTTATTTTTTAGTATGGAGAAATATCGCGCCGATATAATATAAAATGGGCTATGAGCTTTTGGAATAAAATTCCAAAATTATATACGCGACACGAAGCGGTATTGGCATAATTTTATCTGAATTATGGCCACTTTCCGGCGCATACGCTTTCACAGCTTAATAAATGTGCACAAGTATGCGATGATACTGCAGAGTATCGAAAAAGCGATCGCGTTCTAATTTCCATTCTTTGACACTGGCTCCTCTTCTTCTCCATCGATATTTTTACAAAAGCGATAAAAAAAAAAAAAAAAAAAAAAAAAAAAAAAAAAAGAAAAGAAAAGAAAAAATTAAATTATCCTCAAGACCATCCACAATTATCCTCCATCCCTTTTCATTAACCCCTTTTTCAATATCCACGTAACATTATATCCACCTTCAATACGCGCTTCCTTCCATTATTAGCTTTTTTCAAAAATTTTCACTCTCCTTTCACGCCTTCCCCCAGAGAAAGAAGGTGTAACATCCGTGTTAAAAAGAACTTCGTTTCGTTAAAATAAAGAATTATTCAAAAGCTGAACGACGAGCTTTTACTTCGAAACATGCACGCGGAACTTTCCTTTCAATCCGTCCTTTCGCGCTTTTAATTTTCTCTGTCACGGATTTATATACGGCATACTTTCTCTCAACACGTTGCCACGACGGTGGATTCGCGTCGAGCAGCGAATTTTAACAAGAGGGGCTCATTTATATCGAGCAGAAGAAATCTTTGTAATTTTTAATTTACGACGACAATTTTCACGCCGAGTAGAAAATTTCGGCACAAATGCTTGGAAGAAATTTGCGGTTGTTATGGTGGCGAGGGTGCGGTTTAAGAAAGGGAAAAATTATGGGGATAAATATTTTGCCCCACATTTTCCCCAAGCTTATAATCAACTGGGATATTAAGATAAAAAAGTTGTGGAACTAAAGGTGGAGAGAGAGAAAGAGAGAGAGAGAGAGAGAGAGAGAGAGAGAGAGAGAGAGAGAAAAAGTTTGGTCTTTGGGTAGAGAAAAACCGAGGACGATGTTCAAAGTCTTTATATATGTATTTTTTAACGAGCATCTTGTAATAAGCTAAAAAGTTGAAGTTTTATGAAATATAGGAAAATAGAACACGGTTGTTAAAAGTTTGGAACAAGGTTTTGATTATATGTGTATGTGTGTATATGTATATATATGATATACAAAGTTTTATTCCGAGTTTGAGCGTAATTATTACGATATAATGAGATTCTAGAATATTTTAATTAATCCTTTGTGCGATTTAATTGTTTCACGATAGGAGAATTAAGAACTTTCGATATCTTTCGAACGCTTCTTCTTGGATATCGGCAACTTTCAAAATTCTAAAATTCCTCTTATGAAACTTTCTACTGGAAACTCATAAACTTTTCTTCAATATTTAAGACTCAAAGTTTTGGAAATTAATATTCCTTGAAATCTTGCCACTTTTTCCTCGATATCGACAATTTTCGAAGTTTCAAAATTTTTTTTTTTAGCACTTGGAATTGCCAAAGTTTTCTTCAAAGAATTCTTCTTGGAAATTCTTAAAAGTTTAGAATTTCTTCTTTATTTTTTTTTTAAAATTCACAAATTCCAAAATTTTTACAATTCCTCTTGAAAAAAATCCTGACTGAAATTAACAATTTCAAAATCCTTCTCGATCTCCAAAAATTTCAGAATTCCTTCTCAACCAACACGATCTTCAATTCCAAACTCTCAAAATTAAAAACCTCGACCAAATAAAATATCCGTTTCAATTTGCATACGAAAGCGAATACTCTGTTTCTTTGAAACAGAGTCATACTCGACTCTGTAAACGCGTCACACGGTGGCATAAAGTTATCGGGAACAATGGACATCCGATTTCCGGCAAGGCCGCCATTCACCACCAGGAATTTGGCCGCCGTTAAATTTTACGGTTTACAGTTGCGATCGATTAACGCTCGAGAATGGTTTCAGCTGTAATGAGTTATCGCGATTTGATAGTTCATAAAATTGATTGTCCCCGATCGATCGTTCCCAACATTTTCCCAAACTTTCAACGACATCCGATTACGTCGTGTATTTTGTTTTAATTGCGAGAAGAGAGAAGGGAGAGATAGGAAATGGAGAGTGAGAACGTGGCCAGAATATAATTATTTTAATTTCGCCGGGAAATCGGCAAGTGGAATCGGCAAAGAATTATCGATCGAACCGGATGGTACCAACGAACGATGATCGACCGTCGATAATTGAAAATTCGTGTTTGGAGAAAATTTGATCGAAGATTACGGTGAAAGGAATTTGTTGGCTTTTACCAATATTTTTGAATTGTAAATGTATTTGAATATTTTCAATTTGGCGATAGATCAGAAAGGGAATTTTTCGAATTTTTTCTCCGAATAAATTATTAATAATATATATATAAAAAAACGTAATATTTGAATTTCGATTTTTTCACGAATATTTTTGAATTAAATAAATGTATTTGAATATTTTCAATTTGGCGATAGATCAGAAAGGGAATTTTTCGAATTTTTTCTCCGAATAAATTATTAATAATATATATATAAAAAAACGTAATATTTGAATTTCGATTTTTTCACGAATATTTTTGAATTAAATAAATGTATTTGAATATTTTCAATTTGGCGATAGATCAGAAAGGGAATTTTTCGAATTTTTTCTCCGAATAAATTATTAATAATATATATATAAAAAAACGTAATATTTGAATTTCGATTTTTTCACGAATATTTTTGAATTAAATAAATGTATTTGAATATTTTCAATTTGGCGATAGATCAGAAAGGGAATTTTTCGAATTTTTTCTCCGAATAAATTATTAATAATATATATATAAAAAAACGTAATATTTGAATTTCGATTTTTTCACGAATATTTTTGAATTAAATAAATGTATTTGAATATTTTCAATTTGGCGATAGATTAGAAGGAAGAAATTTTTCGAATGAATTATTAATAATACGTATATAAAAAACATGATATGATAAAATACTTGTAACTTTTCAACTTAATTTAACCTAATTTAATCTTAACTTAATTAGTACGAGAATATCAGGATAATACAATAATTACTACTGTCAGACTGAAATAAATCGAGGAATCTGAGGGCGAGCCGGGATGAAATTAGGATTAAATTGAAACAGAATTATGGGATAAAGGATGGGTTAAACGGAAGTTGAATCGACACCATGCTTCTCGGAATAATCTTACGAGTTATTAAGCGATGAAGATGGAAAAAAGATAGATAAGACGAAAAATTCTAATAAGATGAAAAAGAAAATAGGTCGTTTAGGGATAAATATGCGAGCTTCTACCCTTGCAACGTCGAACGCGGCGGGATAGGTGCCCGTGCTCATTTTCACCCCTTTAAATTTACACACTCTCGGTCATGACAGGGGAACATGGGCCGTGTAACGAAATTTCGCGCTCGGCGAAAATGCACAGGCCCGTCCTTTTATTGGAAACGAAATTCTCAGGGCTCTCAGGGCTTGCAACATTGTACATTCTCGTTCGTAAATCTTTTGATACCCAGTTATTTCTGATTAAATTCTTCGTGTAACTATAACAGTATTGTGTACATCGACGATTTTGTTCTTCAATTTTAATTATCTATTAATATTATTTAATAATTTTGAAATTTAAATCAACGGAGGATTTATCAAATAATTTTCAGTTCAATCTCGTGTTTAAAAGGAATTAATTAGATACTCGAATATTTTGACTGAAAGGGTTGAAAGGATTTCATTTGTTAAAAATAAGTAATAGAAAAAAAAGTTTAAGATGATAAATCTCAATCTAATAACGTATTAACAAGTGGAATAACGTTATAACTATTAATATTACAGATAATAAACAGACTACAATAATAAAATAATAATAATTTTATCATTATTTTATAATTACAACACACAAGCAAAGTATATGCAATTACAAATTATCAATTATTAATGTTATAATATAATATTAATATTTTAGACTATAATGCAATATAATTTATGTAGATTATACATTACCTGTAATATTAATAATCACAACATTATAATAAATCATTTAATACATAACCCATAATAATAAATATTAATAATAATCTTATAATACGTAGAGATAAAGTATAACTATAATATATAATAACATTATAATAATAAAATACTATTAATATATTTCACTATTGTCTCGTAATTGCAACTATTTATCATCCACAATGTAACACATAATAATATATAATCAAAGAAATTTTACTATTATAATAAAATACTATTAATAATATTTTACTACAGTCTCACACTTACACGTCCTATTCATCATCCACGATACAATAACGAAATAACCAAAGAAATAATCTCAAACTATCTTACCGTATATTTTATTCAACAGACTTTTTTATTCGGCCAAAGAGGCGGAAGAGTGATGAGAGAGGAATCGAAAATCGCGGATGGTACGCGATAAGAGCGCAGGAGGGGAAGTTAAACGCGCAGAACTGTTTCAGAGGGGAATAAACGATACTCACCCACGTGGAAGGCGATGAGGTGTCGTAATTCAGGATCGACCCCGAGCCGGGACCGTCTTGATACGTCCTGGTAGCCGAGCTTTTGGAGAAATTGGTCTTGTATCTCGAGCGGTTTCTCGTGAGAGGCCAATCTCCTTCCGGATTCCCCTCCATACTGAAAAAAACCCACGTAATCTCTTAATGGATCTTATTATCGACTCGGATATCTACCGATCTTGTTTACATAAAAAGAAATGTAATTTCCTCGGCAAGGGACCAGACAGGACCGGTGGAATTTGTAAAGGTCGACGAGTTTCTTCGTGGGATGGAAGAAGGGTAATGATCCTTTCTCAGGGGAATAATTTTATTTCGTTTATGATATTTATTGGAATTAGTCACGAGACTATTTGAAAAAATCGAATTTTCCGTTTTCTTGAAAATTTTGTAACAACTTTTAGATTGCTCGAAAATCTAATTCGAACGGATCAATCAATCTCTCCGAAAATTAAATCTTAACTTTAGTTAGATTCGAAATTTCGAATCTGTTATATATCAAAGAAATCATACGAATTAATTCTCTCTTTTAAATTTTAATGTTAGCGAACAATTTTCTAATTTCCAGTTTCGTTTACTTCAACGTTTAATCAGACAGAAAAAGAGAAAAAAACATAGTACGAAGTATCTGACGAAATTTAACAGTTTTTACGATAGTTTCCGTATATGATACGGGATGGTGAACAGGACGAGGAAAAAAAGAAAAAGAAAGAAAGAAAAGCAAAGATAAAAGGTAATAAGAATCGGGCTCGTGTTTTCTCTTCCCTTGGCTAGCGACGTTTCGTCACGAACGACGAGTTTTTCGCGTGTTCCCGCGTAAATCTTGCCAACCTAATTAAGAAGCGCGGGCCGACCGCGTTCCATCTTAATTTCGACATCCGGTGAATTTTCCGGATCGAGCCCGCGTTTCCCTTTCATCTTCGGTAATTAAAAAACATTCCCCCACGCACCAGCTATGAAATACTAATAACGATTATGGCACAGCAACGCACAGCAACGTGAAGCTTAATAACGTAGCGATTATTTGGGATTTAATCCCAAAGAATAGATCGTTTTTAACGATTTATTATTTGGAAAGTAAATCTGGGATAAAAATCTCAACAATTTTTCTCCCTCTTTCCTTTTCTTCTTCTATATTCTTTCCAATATTCTATTTCTTCGTTCGTTCCTCCTTCTTTATTTATATTAATATTCAAGAATATTCGGTCGCATCTTTATTCAAAAGGGATATTTATAGTCTCACGTTCGTATCAAATCTTTGGATGGCATGATCCAATAGCTAATCTAATTGGATTAAACTCAGAAAATAAACTCTTCCTTTACACGTGAAACGTTTTGATAATAATATGAGAATCGATGAGTAAAATTTAATAGTTGAGTTAACGAGTATAAAGTTACTTAAATAACTTTATATTCTTCGAAACGTAATAATAATCGTAATAATAATAAAAATTTTTTCGTTCGTTCCTCCATTTTTATTTATATAAATTCAAGAATATTCAGTCGCATCTTTATTCAAAAGGGATATTTATTGTCTCACGTTCTTCAAATCTTTAGATGGCATGATTCAATAGCTAATCTAATTGGAATAAACTCTTCTTTTACACGTGAAACGCTTCGATAATAATATGAGGATCGACGATGAGTAAAATTTAATAATTGAGGTATAAAGTTACTTAAATAATTCTATATTCTTCAAAACGTAATAATTACACGAATAATTGTAAGATCGAGGATAACATAGGAAGCATTTTTAATAAGCGATCACTTTAAAATAAACTGTTATATTTAATTTAAAGTTCACTGAAATTTTATATAGTTTTATTGAATGTTGCCAGCAACATCACTATTTCATAGTTGCTACCTATTTGTTTTTCTTTTCACATACTTCAAATGTTTTATAAACAGATATGCATAATCAGATATAATTAAATATATTCATTCAAACCTAAACCCGTACATTTTTATTTATTGTTTTCATTCAACATAAATTTATTCGAAATTTTTAACTAGTTACTTTTTCAACCAAGAGTCAACTGCCCGTCAACTCTGTACTCAAGTTACTTTCAATCGTCACGCTTGTCGCAACAAATTTACTTACTTAATTGATCAAACGCGGTCTCAAGGAAGGACAAATAAATTTTCGTTGTTCAATCTCAGCGCACGATGCAATCCATCGTTTAATTAAAATGGAGGGGAAGTAGGGAACAAGCGTTCCGTCACAATTGGCTCGAAGCATTATCAAATTCTCAAATGGCGGACATCGACTCGCGTCGATCGAAAACCTATTAAACATCCAATTCAAACCTCGAAACCTTTCCCCCAAACCAATCCCAATCCGGGCCCCGCACACCATCGGCGCTGTTTACGACTTCCGTTTTACTGCTTTCCCGTGGCCAGGGAAACGTCGGATCAAAATTGGCCACGCAATCCGCAAGCTCCAACGATCGAAATCGCTTGGTTTTTCGATCCGTAACGAAAATATCGAGAGTATGAATATTTTTGACTATTTATTTATTATTTAGCTTGCTTACTTTTTCTAAAATATAATTCTTTATTGGTAAATCGAGAGTAAAAATTATACTTGAAAGACCGGTTTATTGGGGAAAGGAATTAGGTTCGAGAATTTGAACATCTGCGAAAATGGCAGATCTTCGAAGAATGATGGATACTTATTGTAGAACTTAATTCTCAATGTCCAATTAAAAAATAGTAATAGAAAATAGAAAAAGGCGTTGTCGAAAAGCAATGATATTACAAGCAATGAAAAAATAAAAATAATAAATAATTTTTAATTTCAATAAACACTTGGAGACAGTTTTTATAGATCAATGATAATTCTGGTATACTGTTCGTTACCGAAAAATATGTTGGAGAATTTGAAAATGGAGTTTCAGAAACGAAGCCAAAGCCAAAGCCAAAAATAAAAGGAACGAACACGTTTGAGCAAGAATAATTTTTAGTAGATATCACGTTAAACGTTAATTATTCAAAGGAGTATCTTTCGTCCATTGTACGTAAAGTAAAATACCGTCGAGAATATTATTATCCAAATATATTCGAATCTTGCCATCCTCGAATATCTTCACTCTTCGAGGCGGCCATGTTTGCGGACTTTGGAGGCTGTTCGAGGTTCCAGCCGTCGAGTTGCAAACTTTTCGATCCAGGAACTGTTCCCAGGGACAGGTTTCTTTTATAAGAAACCACTCTGTAGGATCTTGGAGAAGGGCTTTCAACGTCGCATCAATCGAGAAGTTTCTGTCTCTGTTGGAAAAAGTCGTGCCTCGGCCAAACAGCCTTTTTACCTGCAATCAGAGTAACTTCGCGGCAAGTTTGATTGACCCGCCATCACGAAGAAACGCGAATTCCTTCTTCTTTTTTTTCTTTTTTTTTTATTTTTTAATCCTTCTTCAGATTTTTATTTTTTTTTCTTCCTCTATTCCTTCTCTTATCGTCCCAGAGAGTCTTTTTAATTCGAAGCGTTTTCGTTTTCTTCTTCTTTGTTTCAACTTTTTATGAAAGCTCGATTGATTACTTCTTCCGATGTAATTGTTGAGAAAAAGTTTCTCGAAGAGTTTGTTAAGATACATGGAACGATTTTCGAGTTTAATCGGTTTTGAAATCGGATTGATTCGATTAAAAAAAAAAAAAAAAAAAAAGAAATAGAAAAAGAGAAAAATAATATCGCGATATTATAAATTATTATAATAACAAATTTTTAATTCGTATTTTTTAAATTTTTATTTCGTATGTTTAATTTATATCTATAAATGAAAAAATAAAATAAAATAAAATTTTCCAACTTTAAAAATATCAAAAAAATTTCATCCCCAAAATATAATTCACCACGCGTATCTTCACGCTCCACAAACAAGGCGATAAATCCTTGATCAAATATGCCATTAGTTGCTCTCCATTTCTCGTGTCCCATTTATTAAACGGGGGAAAAGGATATTATAGAAAAAAAAAAAAAAAAAAAAAAAAAGGATGGAAAAAAAAATAATCCAGCTGAGGTTAATCGCGACGTGACCGAAAACCGATCTCAATTTCTGTTTATTGACATAGAAACGATGAGGAGGAGAAAAGAGAGAGAAATAGAAAAGTTTATTCGGTGGATCATTAAAAAAAAATAATCGACCGCGAATCGATAAAAATATTTCGTTTCGCGACACGATTATTTTTTCTTCGCCATTTTCCACAGCGATTTTAAACATTAGCGCGCGTTAAGTGTTCCAACTTGCGAAAGAATAAAA